TAACATCTTGTACTCATATTTGGAATTGACACTATTCCATTTAGCATCTCCAGTGAGCCAAGTATCTTTGGGGATCTCTCTCCATGAGCTTCAGTGAAATGAACAAATTTACTTTTGTTTGAAATAATACACTTAGAATACTTTTTCCTGTGTCTTGAACCTCATGATAAAATTGAAATGTCTTTGGATTTTATAACACAGAAATGTGAAATCCCACTTTTGAATCCCACTCTTGTCCCAAAAGTACAGAATACATTTGGATAAAACTCAAGACAATCTTTGTTTAACCAATTCAATTTACACAGCCTCCATATTTCTAAAGAAGATGTTTCCTCAGCAAGCTTCCCTAACTTTCAACCTCATGCCAAGGCCCACCAAGACATAGTGAAGTACTCAGAGGTGTCCTAAAGTCCACTTATCTCAGTTGCCATGTAATGTATTTATTCCTAACCACCCTCCACCCAGACAACCACAAACACACGGGCCAACAATCGGTTCTGGGTTCTAAATCATTCTGCCTAACTTGCTCATCTACAGGAAAAACTTCCATTCGTACTCTGCATTCTACTTAACTTCCAGGCCACATTACTCTCTTTCTATTATATCCAAAAGAAGTGAATTTTTCTCTACCCAGAAATACAACTTTTTATATTAGAATTTATTCAAGTTTGACTTATTAAAGAAGAATGGGGATAAATGACATGTTCAGTCACGATTACCTCATCCAAATGGTAGGGCAGAGAAACGAGAGCTACTGACTAGCAGCACTGTTATAATCAGTATGTGCTAACTAGCCAAGAATTGAATGCTTTGACTGTATTAAGACAATATTGAATAAGACTATTTACCCTTTTAGTACTATTTCTTATTTATTCCAATCATTTCCTACAAAACAGTTCATGATAGCCAGCTATAAAAATATTTCAGGAGACCACGAACTATTAGATTACATAATGAGCTGCCCAGATGCAGGCAGGAAAGAGAGCACTCCTGGGGTCTTAAGCAGGAGCAGAGGGCCAGCCCCTTCCACCTGGATGTAGGCAAGAAACAGAGCATGCCTGGGATCCTTAGGCAAGAGCTGAGGGCAACATCTCCCACCGGGAAACAGGCAAGGAGCACACCAAAAACACCACTTCCTCGCAGGTGACCCACGAAAGCCACCACCATAGCCACAGCTGCCTCAAAAGCAGCTTGACGCCATAGCTACCATTCAGGTGGCCTGCCAGATACCCAACTGCAGTGACACAAGGAGAGTCACCAGAGGAGACTAGAAAAAGAAGAGAACCTCTCTCTCCTCAAAGCCTGTAATAGAAGAAGCAACTGCTCTACCATGCCCCTGCTTTATTTCCGATTTTAGTAATTTCTGTCTTCTCTCTTTTTTCTTGGCCAGTATAGATAAAGGTTTGCAAATTCTGTCAATCTTTTTAAAGAATCAAAAAAAGACTATTAAGCAGTCTACAAAGGACTGTTGATGTAAATATTTTAATCAAACTAACTTTACATAATTCTTTTAGGGTATAATAATCTTTGTATATATTGTATAACTTGTTAAATATGTAACTATTATTCATTTTTCTTTGACAGACTTTGTTATGTAAGATTGAAATCAAGCTCAAAACTCATTTCTCCATAAATAAAAAAAAATTATATAATGACCTCAACCTGGCTGGCTGGTTGGTTGATACTTAGGGTCTTAGTAATTCCAACTCAATCCAACTAAGTACTACATTTAGTATTACATGAACCTATACCTAGGGGAGTGAACAGACAGCCCAATTTTAAGTGAAGGCTGTTTTAACTGGATTAACAATTTCACTTTTGAACTTTCCTGACTATTTTCTTCCCCAAGGTGAAATAAAAAATAAAACTAATGAAAATTCAAAGGCCAGAGGCAAGATATAACAGTACCAAACATATAAAATGTTAATAAAAGTAAGTGCACTTACAGTGAGCAAAATAAAATATGCATGTCTGAGATAAGATAGCTTTCCAGGTAAATTTGGGCTTTGAGAATGTAAAAGAACTAAAGTTTCTAAATTAAGATTTAAGATTTTAAAATTCCATTTACAAGTAAGAGCTACAATAGCTTAGAATCATTTTACAATCTAGGTGTATCCAAAATACTTTTTCTTTAATTTCAAGGGTTTATATATTGTTCAGTAAGATTCCTTAAGTGTTTCCTTTTTTCTTCCGCCATTCCCCTCTCCATCCCCAAAAGCACAGTTTCTTATCCATATTTTGGCAGATCAGTTTTAAAAAGAAAAGAAAAAAACATATATAATTACAACTTATAAGTATGTTGTGGAAATATATATAACTACAGAATCACCTGTGTCACATCTAACATATCACCTTCATTTGTACTACCTAAAGGTTAAATAGCTAAGAATACGGTTTAAATATGCAATTACTTCCTTTAGTCAATACTTAACCTTGTATTGTATTTTGTTCATATATTAGTCATTTTTTTTATTTTTCCTTTTTTAATTCTTCACATAAGAGTATTTTCTTCCTTTAAATTCTCAATTATTTTACCACAAATAAAGCTTTTCTTAAACAACATGCTTCAAAATCAGTTACTAAGATAAATAGCTATCTTTCTCTCCTCTCCTTCGTTCTCTGGTGTGCCATTTTCTGGCCTGTGAAGCTTTTCCATAAGTGTTCAAAAGCTAAATTATGTTTTAAAAATAGAAAGCACAGGAACAAGAGATCCACCTTAAACAGCTATGAGAAATATCTGGCCCTACTCTAAAAAAATTTTCCAGTTAAACCAAGAGAGCAACAAACTTGCTGCTGTCCCCATCTCCTTCCATACTTCCAATCTAGGTAACTTGCACATATAAATAAAAATATTCTAAATAACTTCTCTACTGCAGGACTATACATACAGATAACACTTTCTGCTACCACATGAATGTGGAACACTGGATCATCAATATAAGTGATTAAGTCCTGAAGGCCATCAAAACTTGTCTAATCTATAAAATACTATAATCATGGACAGAACATACTTTTATAACCAGTATAATTGAACGTCAGGAAAAAAATGAGAGTAATGAATTTGCTGTGAATCTATAACAGATTTAAAACATTATTAATAGCTATGGTAAATGTCTAAATTTATGTATACAGGTATACAATTCTATTTATTAATGTTCTCTTTCAAATTCTATGTCATTTTTATATGGACTACAAAAAGCATTAAAATAAACGTAAAATTATGTCATCAAAACCTGCTTCCTCAGATTTTTTAAGGAATTTAAAATGGATGCAATCACACAAAGAACATGTAAACATGTGAATCAGCCTCAGTTTTTATATTATTTCTCAAGTCACAAGACTTCTGAACATGAGAATTTCCCAACTGTGAAAGAGTTTAGTTCTAGTAGTTTATGACATCCCTTCAAGTTCACCACACAGTTAACCTACATAACATTACCATGAGTTTCCTTTCCCTTTTTAAGTCCCTAGTCAAGCCAAGGCAAAATTACGACAGAGACAAAGTTACCTTTGTCACTGTACTATAGCACTTTTTCCTCATGTACCATCCCCCCACCCCCAGTTTCTGATGTCCTTTCTCTATCCTCCTCAAGCATCCTAAGTGCCCTACATTGAGCACAAGTAAACATTTGAAAGCTCTAAAACCACTTCTCCATCTACCCCAATCTAGTTGATCCTCTCTATAGGCAATATTACCAATAATTTATACAAATGCCTTACTGTTTAATAACTACTATTTACTATGCCATAAATTAACTTTGCAATTTCAATTTCATTGTAAATCTAAACTCTGATGATGCATCCCTAGGTAGAAATTCAAAGTTTGGGTTTCCATAACCCACTAATCACTAAAAGAAATTTATAGAGGAGTGCTGTGTTCCAATGTGTTTGCTTAATCACTTCAAAGCACTCTTCATTTGGCCATCTGTCTCCCTCAAAGAGAGGAAGAAAGGAAATGTCTAAAACAAAGTGAAGAGTACTTTATTTTAATGTGAGCAAAATATATTCCTTTTTCCATCACACCTGCTTCATTCAAAAATGGTAATCTTGGATATGCACACACAGGTCTAGAAGAACATACTGTGTATTGTTAAGAGGCAATCCCTAGCGAAAGAACCAAAGAAATAAGAAAGTTTCCCATTTACTTACATACTTCCACACTGTTTACAGTTTTTAATGATAAACACCTTATGTAATTTCTTTTTAAAATCAGTTAAAAATGTAAAGATTATTAAATTCAACTGACATGGATAGAGATTTTGAAAATAATCTTCTGAAACAGAAAAACTGTCAACAATTGTGATTCTAATGGATAAAATGCTGTTTTTATGTCCTCAAAGCACTTCACCAACATGCACTGTTCCTTCTAATAGCCCTGTCCACTTTTAGTTTCCTTCATAAAATGCTAAGACCTTTCAGGTGGCTTGATCCTTAAATTCCTGCCCTAAAAGTTCACAAATTCTAATTCACTTCAGAAGCCACAGTAAGAAAAGAATAAAACTATTACATTTCTTTTACCCCATGATAATTGTAATTATCACACAGAACCTTCTATAGGTTAACAAAAGGCCCACAGCTGTTCTCCTGACCTTGAACCTACAACTTCTATTAAAATATCCAGATAGAAATTCACAATAACAGCAACACAAATTTAAAATAACCATCACATGTTGAAATGGTAATACCAGTCTAATTAGTGCTAAACTTTGCAAAATAAAGAGGGTACTGAGTTCAAATCCCTTACAGAGATATTTAATGAAATTCAAATTGAGGAAATGAAGATAGACAATATTGCTAAATAACATGGTTTAATGTTCCAAGGAGTCTGTATGGAATTAAAAGAAGTACAAAATTACCTTCTCATCACTTTCATAATTCTATAGTCACTAAATGGGAAGAATTTCAAATTACTTTGTCAGTTTAGGAATAATCAGTTTTAATTTAAGATATTTTATGCCTAATAAAAAAATGTTTTATAATAAAAAAATTAAATATTTTACCAGTTGACAATGGTGGGAGGTACTAGTGCCTTGAAGAAATGCGCCTTTGTGTTAATACCTGTCAAAACAATCACATAAAGAAGAAAAGCATTACTACTCATAGTCTAGTTAATCAGAGCTAAATATCAACTTTTTCCTGGAGATGTTTTACTGCTAAACCTTGAGAAAATTTCTGGTGAGTTTTTCTACAAACACCATCTATCACACTAGCAAATAGACTTTATCATGTAACTTTCTCCAAAAAAGTATATTATATACACTACACACTGATTAGAATGGCCAAAATCCAAACTCCAAAACACTACCACCACCAAATGCTGGCAAGGAGTTTGGCAGAGCAACAAGAACTCTCTTTCATTGTTGGTGGGGATGCAAAATGGTACAACCACTTTGGAAGACAGCTTGGCAGTGTCTTATAAAACTAAACATACTCTTAACATATGATCCAGCAACCATGTTCCTTGGTTTTACCCAGTTAAAAATATGTCCATAAGTAAACATGAATGTTTGTAGCAGCTGTATTCATAATTGCCAAAACACAGAAGCAAAGATGTCCTTCAATAGGTGAATGGATAAACTGTGGTATATCCAGACTAATTGAACATGATTCAGAGCTAAAAAGAAATAAGCTATCGAGCCATAAAAAGAAATGTAGGAAACTTAAAATGCATATTATTAAGTGAAAGAAGCCAATCTGGCTACATACTATATGATTTCAACTGTATGATATTCTGGAAAAGGCAAAACTATGGAGACAGTAAAAGGTTCAGAGGCTGCCAGGGGCTAGGGGGCAGAGAGGGATGAATAGGCAGAGCACAGAGGATTTTTAGGGCAGTAAAATAATCCTGTATGATACTGTAATGGTAGACACATGTCATTATACATTTGCCAAAATCTGTGGAAGGTACAACACCGAAAGTGAACCCCAATGTAAACTATAAACTTTGTGTGACAATGATATGTCCATATAGGTTCTTCACCTGTAACAAATGGACCACTGTGGTGGGAGATGCTGATAATGAGGTAGGCTGTGGCTGTGTGGAGGCAGGGAGTATACAAGAAATCGCTGGACCCTCCTCTCAATTTTGCTGTGAATCTAAAACTGCTCTAAAAAGTAAAGTCTATTTTTTAAAAATGTACATCCGAAACTCAAAAAAAGTATATACTATAAAGATTGAGTTCATTTACTCATGATGATGATGGTAAAGAATAATAACTAAGATATATACACAGTGATATATTGTTTATAAAACACTTTTATACTTTATCTCAGTGATCTTCCCAATCACCTGTGAAGCAAATAGGTTAGCTATCACTAAATAGCCATTTTTAAAAATATAATTAACATCAACCCAAACTCACAGAGCTAGTAAGCAGAGCTAAATACTAAGTATTTTAAAACAAAATTCAACACACTATTGCCTCATTATTAATTTTCTCATTCCCTGCAAGTCAGCCAGATATGGGGCAGGGGTGGGGAGGAGGACATACCTTAAAACCAGACATATCTGCATTCAAAATTACTGCTGTTTCTTATTAGCTATGACTCTATTGCCTCATTATTAATTTTCTCATTCCCTGCAAGTCAGCCAGATATGGGGCAGGGGTGGGGAGGAGGACACACCTTAAAACCAGACATATCTGCATTCAAAATTACTGCTGTTTCTTATTAGCTATGACTCTAGACAAGTTCATCCATCTATTCATGGGGGGCGGGGGGGGGAATTGTATAAATTTCCTTGTTAACTTCTTGTGCCAGTTTCCTCATATGCAAATAAGGCCAACAGCAGCATAGATAAATAATTCATACCCATATTTGTAGAATTTGTATAAAGAAAAAAGAAAAACAACAGATGAAAGCAGGCTATGCATATTAGCAGAAAATTTGCAAAAAAAGAAAGCCCCAAAAGCACGTCCATTAACTATGAAAAATTGGCCAACCTCATTAGTTATCAAAGAAATGCAAATTAAAACAATATCAGTTCCCACATCAGATTTTTTTTTTAATAGAACAAACAAACCAAAAAACATTGTTGGCAAGGATATAGGAAACAGAATAGTTCTCGGCACTTTTAGGGAAGTGAAGTTAGTTTAGAGAGCAATTTGGCAGAATCTAGCAAAAGCTGAAAATCTAAGTTCCTGTGACCCAGTAAATCCCTTTTGAGAGATCTGTCCTGGAGATACTTTGGCACATGTGCATACTTACTTTACCCTGCTTTGTTTTGTTAATTAAATGGCCCAATGTGACAGGTCCTAGTATTTAACTGGCCCTCAATAAATGCTAAGAATCTCATCAACAAATTACTAAATGCCTACTCAGATTCAGACTGGAAGCTTCTCATTCTGAGAATGAGACCATAGCACTCAAGAAAGTTCCTAGTGCAGTGGTAGAGCCTGACAAGACAAACATGTTAACATGGCAAAAACTATTAGAGATGTAGATCGCACTAAGAAAAGAGACAGGCAAATGCAGCCCTCTGTCTAGGAGGAGGAAGAGATGGTCAAGGAAGTTACTGTGAGGTGAGTTGATGTATATATTTTTGTCCAAGTAGACAATAACTGTAGGCAGTAAAAACAATATCTGCAAAAGCACAAAGGTATACAAGAAATGGGAAATTTCAGTAAACTCTAAGTATTTAGAGTAGGCTGAATAAACGACCTCAAAGATATCAGGCCCTAAATAAAAGCCAGAAAGTACAAATGTTTCCTTATTTGGGAAAAAGATTTTCACAGATATGATTAAGGATTTTGAGACAGGAAGATGATCCCGGATTATCCCAGTGTGCTCTAAATGCCATCACATGTGTTCTTACAAGAGAAAGGGAGATTTAACACACACAGAGAAGATGATATGAAGACTTGAAGATGCCAGCCTGAAAGACTGGATTGATACAAGGAACCCGAGGGGGCTGGAAGAGGCATGGGACAGATTCTTCCCTAGAGCCTTAGAGGGAGTAAAGCTCTGCTGACACCTTGATTTCTGCCCAGTTATACTGATTCTCCAAACTTTCGGCCTCTTTTAACTCTAAGAATAAATTTGTTGTTTTAAGTCACCAAATTTGTGATTTGTTTTAACAGCCTTAGGAAACAAAAGCAGTGTCCCTCACTACTGCCAGGAATGTATGCTGTGCTAAGTGGTGAGACATTATCCATGGCTCTGAAGAGTCATCTAATTTTTATGCAGGAGAATGATGTAATCAGATCTCTGTTTCATAATGTTAAATCTGGTACCAATGTTGAGAATTTACTGGTGGAAAAAGAAACCAGAAACATAAAAACCGTTTCAGAAATAAAAATCCAGACAGGAGTCTCTGAAGAGTCATCTAATTTTTATGCAGGAGAATGATGTAATCAGATCTCTGTTTCATAATGTTAAATCTGGTACCAATGTTGAGAATTGACTGGTGGAAAAAGAAACCAGAAACATAAAAACCGTTTCAGAAATAAAAATCCAGACAGGAGATAAAGTTCTGGATCACCAGATATTTGAGAAAAATCATCACTATGAAAGAGACAAAAACAAACAGAAAGACAAGAAAAGGTACCCCCATGGCAAAACAAAAGGTAGGAAATGGGGAAATTTTTAAAATACGTATGTATATGAAATTAATATTCTCAAAGGGGTAAGAGAGACTATTATATCCATGAAGCAATAATGGCATTCTATATAGAAAGAATAAAAATAAGAAAAAGCTCTTGGAAATTAATAACAGCAGCTGAAATTACAAAGTCAATAAAAGTATCAGAAGATGAGATTGAAAATATTTCTCCGAAAGGAAAGCAAAAGCAAAAAGGTAGAGGAGTAAAAACAATTTGACTCATTTTTTAAAATGAGGTGTCAAATTAATCCAAGAGATCCAAGTTCCACTACAAGGGATTCCAGAAAGCATGAATGAAGAGGAATAAATTACTGAAGCATTCTGCAATAAAGTATCCCAGGCTGACAGACACAGGTCTTCAGTTTGAAAGGGCTGAGCAGACAAATGATGGAAAAAATAACTGACCTCTAGACATAGCCTACTGAATTCTCAGATCACAAGGTATATCAAGTATTCTAAAAGCTCCCCCAAAAGGAAAAGCAGTTCACCTACAAACACGGTGATTGTGTAAATGATCAACAAACGAGGATACTTTTCAGAGTAAAAGGAGGCACTATTAAAAGGTGTAATTTGGGGGTGTTCCAGGCAAATCAGGATGTATGGTCACTCTTCTCATGAAGGAGTAAGAATTATACTGGCATCAGATGTCTCAGCAACAGTGGATGCTAGGCAGCTATGAATGATGCCTTCCAAATTTTGAGAGAAACTAATTTTAACCTAAAATTCTACTCCCAGCTAAATTCCCAATCAATTACAAGTAGAATAAAGAGATTGTCAGACATGCAAGGACTCAAAATTTTACATTCCACAAATACACTTTGCTAAGAAATCACTTAAAAAGTCCTTGACCATGTGCATGTATTCCTTTGATAAAACTTTTAAAACATTACTTTTTTAAAAACCTGAATTGATCTGAAGTTCCAAAACCTGAAATACCATATAGAACAATCTCGCTAATGAATCATAAGGAAAAAAAATCCTAAAATACTATCACATCTAATCCAGAGTTAAAAGAATAATACACAATAACCAAGCATAGCTTGTATATGAGTACAAAGATGCTTCCTTCAACCCCTAAGAATCTCTAATATTATCATTCTCTATATTAACAGGCTAAGTGGGATATATACATACATATTTTAGTATTTAAGTAAATATCAATTATTAACTTTAAAAGAAACTTCTTACTCAGAAACAAAAGAAAACTTCAACTTAAAAGAGTTTATTTATCAGAAACCAACAACAAACATCATCCTTCCAAATCAACTTCCACTGAAGTAAGAAACAAGACAAGGAGGCTGGCTATGACCATAATCATTGTACATTAAGAAGGTTCTAGCTCTGTGCTGTACAATGTGGTAACCACTAGCCACAATTACTACTGAGCACTTAAAATGTGGCTTGTCCAAACTGAGATGTGCTCTAAGTGTAAAATACACATGGGATTCCAAACACTCAA